ATCTTTTAAGTATTTATTTATGTCTTTATTTTCTCCTTTGGAGAAAAAAAAAGAAATGTTTATTATCAGATGATATAATTTTTTTTGCATAGACAATCCAAAATAATTTACAGATGGATTATTTAAAATAGGCAAACCTCTCAAAGTTGGTAGATTCAAGGTTAATGTGCAAAGTTCAAGTGTAGCTCTAGCTGGTTTGGCTCAGTGGATAGAGTGTCAGCTTGCGGTCTGAAGAATCCTGGGTTTGATTTTGATCAAGGTCACATGCTGGGTTGCCGGCTCAATCCCCAGTGGGGGGTGTGCAGGAGGCAGCCAATCAATGATTCTTTCTTATTGTTGATGTTTCTCTCTCTCTCTCCCTTCCTCTTTGAAATCAATAAAAATATATTTTTTAAAAATTCCAGTGTATTTCTATATACCAGTATCGACCAAAATATCTCATTTTTTTCCTTTATTTTTATTGTTGACACATTACAGATGCCCCCATTTACCCACCTTTGCCCCCTCCACCAGCCCCCAACCCCCAAATATTCGGTGGGGGTGATACAAGCGTTAAACAGCAGAGCCTGGGGTAGTAAGTGCTGGCTGTATGTCAGTCAGTGTTGTGACTGACATATGTAATATGCCATTTTAATAGAACCAAAAACTATTAAGTACCTCAAGAGAAATCTAACAAAAATATGTATGTCTTCTACGCAAAAGGTTATAAAGCATTATATAGAGCGAACATCTCGAAAGACACAATAAGTGAGAGGTAAGACCATGTAAAATATCGACTGAATTTTATAAAGATGTCCATTGTTCCAATTAAATAGCCTCCTTTTTAAAACTTATTTTCCCATTACAGTTGCCATTCAACATTGCATTCGTTTCAAATGTACAACATACTGATTAGACATTTGTATGCCTTATGCAGTGATCCCCCATAAGTCTAGTACCCACCTGGCACCATACACAGTCATTACAATCTATTTTTTTAAATATATTTTTATTGATTTCAGAGAGGAAGGGAGAGGGAGAGAGAGAGAGAAACATGAACGATGAGAGAGAATCATTGATCCGCTGCCTCCTACTGGGGATCGAGCCCACAACCGGGACATGTGCCCTTGACTGGGATCGAACCAGGGACCCTTCAGTCCCCAGGCCAATGCTCTATCCACTGAGCCAAACCAGATAGGACTCATTACAATCTTACCGACTGTACTAGAGGCCTGGTGCACGGATTCGTGCACCAGTGGGGTCCCTCAGCGTGGCCTGCGGGGATTGGCTGAAACTGGCAGTCCAACACTGCCTGCCACTCCTGCCTGCTGCTCCTGCTCATCCCGGCCCTGCTGCGCCTGCCGCCGCTGCTTAGTAGGTTCGCTGCCGCTCTGCTGTGATTTCTGGGCTGCGGCAGCCAGCTGTGAGCCCTGCGTCTGGAGCCCATCAGTCAGCTGAGCGGCGCTCCCTCTGTGGGAGCGCACTGACCACCAGGGGGCAGCTCCTGCGTTGAGCATCTGCCCCCTAATGGTCAGTGGGCGTCATAGTAACCAGTCAACCGGTCAACTGGTCGCTTAGGCTTTTATATATATAGATTTCCTGCGCTCTACTTCACATCCCCATGACTGGTTTTATGGCTGGCAATTGGTACCTCTAAATCTCTTCCACCTCCATCCCCCTAAACCCCCTCCCATCTTGATCCTGCTGCCTACAAGCCAGATCCGGCTCTCCCCAGAGCCACGGCAGGGGCCCTGCCTGGGTTCTGGCCTGCGGTTCTGAGTCCCTTTAGCCCAGGAGCGCCCCCTTCAGGAAGGAATGCGAAGCCTGGGGAGGGGAGAGGGAAGCTGTGGTTTCCAGCCAGCATGTGTGGCTTCAGATAAATGAATTCACCTCTCTGAGCCTCAGCTATCTCCACAGTGGAGATCCGGTTGATCATACACCACAGCTGTCGTCGGAGGAGATAATTATAAGTCATTGACTCACAATGTGATACATAGGAAGTGCTTACAGATATGAGCTTCCTGCCCTGGCCGGTTTGGCTCCGTGGATAGAGAGTCGGCCTGAGGACTGAAGGGTCACGAATTCAATTCCGGTCAAGGGCACATGCCCAGGTTGCAGGCTTGATCCCTGGCCCTGGTCTGGGCCACCAATAGGTGTGTAGGTATTTCAGTCTCTCCTCCTCCTTCCCACTCTCTCTAAAAATGGATGGAAAGACATCCTCGGGGGAGGATTAACAACAAAAATCCACGAATTTCCTATCCTCCCTTCCTCCTGTTATGACGCTGCCACTTATGTACAGTTTGTGAGCAGAAAAAAATAAACCCTGTTTGACCTGCTTTTTACCCATATTTTTCTCAGCGTTCCTTACAACCTCTTCTGCTTTATTCCTACTTTTTTTTCTGCTCTTCCTGTCTTCCAATGTGTAACATCACTTGTTGTTGTTGTTAATCCTCAATGAGGATATTTTTTTTCCATTATTGTTTTTTTGTTGTTGTTTTTTTTAGAGAGAGTGGGAGGGGAGAGAGAGAGAGAAACATCAATGTGAAAGAGATACATGGATTGGTTGGCTCCTGTACATGCTCTGACTGGAGCCGGGATCAAACCTACAAACGAGATACCTGCCCTTGATGGGGAATGGAACCCACAACCCTTCGGTGCATGGGCCAATGCTCTAACCACTGAGAACACTGGCCAGGGAATTTTTTGTTGTTGTTAATACTCACTCGAGGATTTCTTTCCATTGATTTTTAGAGAGAGTGGCCGGGAGAGGGAGAGACAGAGAGAAACACTGATATGAGAGACACACATCGATTGGTTGCCTCCCGCATGCACCCTGACTAGCGCCAGGGAACCTGCAACCGAGGTACGTGCCCTTGACTAGAATCGAACCCTGGACCCTTCAGTTCATGACCGATGCTCTATCCACTGAGCCAAACCAGCCAGGGCTAATGCAAAGGCCAGAGTCCTTTCTGGGCTCCCCAGTTTTCTGACTGACTATTAACCATCCCCCACGAGGACTGTCCATGAAGCAATCACAACCGTGACCTCGGGGAAGGGACGAAGTGGGGGGACATGCTCTGCAGCGGGAAACAAGACTCCTCTCGCGCTCCCTTCCCCAGCTGGTCGGTTGGGAGCACGCTGTCCGTTTCCTCCTGGTCCCCCTTTGCCGGTGTTCCCGCTCCCAAGCAACCACATGTTTGCTCTCCCCCTGATTTTCAGGCCGACAACGCGTTCACCCCCAGCCTCCGCGTCGCCTCCTGGCCTGAAACCTTCCCCCCAGCCCTGCGGCTGGTCACGCTGGCCTTGGCTACTCTTGACCCCTTTCTGCAACTCGGCTTCTGGTTCCTCTTCTGCAAAACGGAGTGGGCCCGTTTATTTTAGATGAAGATCTGCACACTCTTCCTGTCAAGGGCCAGGCGCTAAGTATCTTCGGCTCCGCAGCTGCCTGAAATCAGCCACAGAGGGCGAGACAGAAAAGCGTGGGGTGGACGCGGCCGGGCTCCAGGAACACTTTGTTAGTGGACACTGACATTTGAATTTCATGTGTTCATGCGTCACAAAACATTCTCTTGACTCTTCCCATTTATTTTTAATAAAATATGTGGTTGGTTTTTTTTTTTATTGATTTCAGAGAGGAAGAGAGAGAGAGAGAAACATCAATGATGAGAGAGAATCATCGGTCATCGGCTGCCCCCTGCACGCCCCCTACTAGGGACCAAGCCCACAACCTGGGCATGTGCCCCAACCAGGAATCGAACCGTGACCTCCTGGTTCATTGGTTGACGCTCAACCACTGAGCCACGCCAGCCGGGCAACTCTTTCCCCCATTTAAAACTTGGCTCTCGCCAAAACCGGTTTGGCTCAGTGGATAGAGCGTCGGCCTGCGGACTGAAAGGTCCCAGGTTCGATTCCGGTCAAGGGCATGTACCTGGGTTGCGGGCACATCCCCAGTGGGAGATGCGCAGGAGGCAGCTGATCGATGTTTCTCTCTCATCGATGTTTCTAACTCTCTATCTCTCTCCCTTCCTCTCTGTAAAAAATCAATAAAATATATTTAAAAAATAAATAAATAAATAAATAAATAAATAAATAAATAAATAAAACTTGGCTCTCGAGTGGCATGAAAATAGACTTGGGGCCAGGCTTGGCCTGGGAGGTTAGCTCGCTTGCCTTGTAGAGACCACCGTCGAGCCATTTTCCAAAGGTTCTCCCACCTTGGAGAAAAAGTGAAACTGTGAGGAATCAGTGAGGGTGGCGCCAGGGCTTCTGAGACAAAAAGTGTATTCTTGTCCTCAGAATAGTGCAGGGGTGGGCAACCCCTGGCACGCGTGCCAAACATGGCACGCCAGTAACTTTTGTTGGCACTCGAAACCCTCTCTTATAATCTTCCATTTACAATTGTGAATCTTTGTTCTCAGTGATGAATTTTGTTAAGTCTCATAATAGGAGTAGCCTGAGGGACGAAAGTAGTAGCTCGTGCATATCTCTGAAGGTCACGAAATATAAACCTGATGTAAAATCTCTGTCATCAGTGATGCAGCAGCCAAAGTCCCACTGATAATATCAGAGACATAAAGTTTTCTGTCGGACTATCAGTGTACATGTATACATTAAAAAATAAATGTATTTTTCATCATCATATACTGTGTTTTTGTCACTCGAATGAATTTTTATTATTTCTTCGAGGTTGTTCACATACGTACACCTTAAGAGATATCAAGTAGGCATAACATGTTCTCAAAAAATTAGGGTTGGCACACAGAAGAATTTTGAGTCAGAGATTTTGCTGGGTTTGGCACGCACTCACAAAAAGGTTGCCCACCCCTGGAATAGTGTATCCAGAGAAGGGTCACTCTGGAGAGAGTAGTCAGGCTGTTGCGGATGCCCGGCCTGGGATGGGATGGCCCATCCTTGGAGGAGTCGACAGAAGAAAGAGAGCGAGGCCTTGTCCTCTGTTCTCCATCCTCTCAGTGATTGCCTTTCTCCCCAGCCTGGTCCCCGTCCCGCCGCCCAGGGGGCTGTCAGTGGAACCTGATTTCTGCATATTCCGAGTTGGTGTCCTTGGCCTGCTGGGCCTCCTGCGGCCGGAGGCCTGGGAAGCTGAGGGCAGCGTAATGGATCTCCTGTTGGCTGTTCCTTGATTCTGGGGCTGGAGGGGACATGTTCCATCCTGGGGAGTTGGCACCTGCAGGAGGGGCCCTGGAAGGGCTGCTGGGCTTGGCCTTTGGACTCCGAGCCTAAAGGGAAAACGACCATCATTCATTCATTCATTCATTCATTCAGCAAATACTTGTGGGTACCACGTGGGAGGCACTGATGGAGGCACTGGGGTTACATCAGGGAGTAAAACAAAGTCTCCGTTCTCACTGAGCCCACGTTCCATCTCCGGACAGAAACAATGAACAAGTAAGTGCCTGTGGTCTAAGCCACTCAGTCTGCGGCTCTTCGCTGTGGCCACACAGACTCACACAGGTCAGCTCCTGTAACCACCATCAGGAGGCAGACAGCTCTAACCCCAAAGAGACCTGGCCCTAACCCCAGGCAGCACTGATCTGTTCTCCAGCTCTGCAAGTTCATCCTCTCAAGAGCGTTATGTACGTGGAATCATGTGCATGTGACCCTTAGAGATCAGCATTGAAAAAAAATGTTTTGGCCCTAAGCTCTATTTAACTGGTCGGTAGCAAGTATCACTCATGTGTTCCTTCCTTCTGGTTGTATTCAAGGGGGTTGGTGGACCTATTGGGGCTTTAAATGGATATGATGTGCAGAGAAATAGATTGGGGGTGTGGGAGCAGAGAGGACCCACAGAAGGGGGGGGTGGTGTCCACGTGGACGAGGGAGGCAAGTGGTTTGAAGGGATTTTGCTGATGGATTGATTGGGGGGGAGGGTTTGATGGCGAAGAGAGGCATGAAAGGTGACTGAGGCTTTAGGCCTGAGCAGCTGGGAAGATGTGCTATTTGCTGTGAAGGGGCGGATGGACTAGACGCGCAAGTGGTGTAGTTACTCATAGGTTTGCCTTTGGACAGGCTAAGTTTGAGGTGCCTGTTAGACAACCCGGGGAGATGCTGCCTGGAGAGGTGCCCAAGAGTCTAGGGTTCAGGGGTGAGTCTAGGATTCAAGGGTAAGTGTAGGGTTCAGGGGTGAGTTTAGAGTTCAAGGGTAAGTGTAGGGTTCAGGGGTGAGTGTAGAGTTCAAGGGTAAGTGTAGGGTTCAGGGGTGAGTCTAGAGTTCAGGGATGAGTCTAGAGTTCAGGGGTGAGTCTAGAGTTCAAGGGTAAGTGTAGGATCCAGGGGTGAGTCTAGAGTTCAAGGGTAAGTATACTGTCCAGGGGTGAGTCTAGAGTTCAAGGGTAAGTGCAGGGTTCAGGGGTGAGTCTAGGGTTCAGGGGTGAGCCTACTATTCCCCCCATTTTAAAGTTCAAGAAAGGCTCAGAGAAATTAAGTGACTTGCCCAAGAACACACAGCGATGAACACGGGTCTGAACCCCGGCAGCCCAGCCGTTAGTCACCAGGACACACTGCCTCTCAGCAATGCTAATAATATTACATCACCTATATACATAAAAGGCGAATATGCAAAGTGTCCCTTCGGGAGTTCCACCAGGAGTTCCATCGCTCACTATGATGTGTGCTGACCACCAGGAGGCAATGCAGAATGAAGGAAGCCCCTGGCCGGCAGCCGGAAGGCCCCCATGGCCCTGATCACCCACCAGGCCTACGTACCCTACAGTGCACAAAGTTCGTGCACCGGGCCTCTAGTTAATTATAATCAGTAATGTCCTTGGTGGTGGTGATAACGGCATAGCTGCTATGAACCGAGCAAGGGCACGTTTTGACTCCTCTGACCAACTCTCAAAGGAAACGGAGGGAGACCTGGAGGCTCAGAGGGAGCCCGCGATTGTGGTCAAGGCCTCATAGGCAGTAAGTGCCGGAGTCAGGCTTTGAATCCAACAACCATTCTTTTTCCACCTCGATGTCCCAGGGGCGCAGGGCGGGGGGCAGGGCGGGGAAGGGGCACCGTGCCCGGGCCACTCACCAGGCCGCGGGCGTTGGGGACCACGTTGATGTAATCCAGGATCGTGCTCCGCCGGGTGAGCCTGGGCCTCCACGACTCTGTCCTCGCCGGAGTCTCCGTCTCCGGAGCTGCCTCCTCCGCTGGGGTCTGGGTCTGAGTCTTCCTCAGAGTCTTCACGCTGAGGAAAACGTCGCGCCCCCTCCGTGGGGCGCCCCGCACTACCAGCCTGGTGGGGGAACTCCCTCTCGCAGTCCAAAATAACGGCCAGGATGAGGCAGAGGCAGAGGCCGAGGGCGAGGAGGATGGTGACGCCAGTGCCCAGAGCTATCCTTTAGAGAATCCCTTCGCGATGAGGTCCTTCTCTTCTGCGCGTGGAAACCGCCAGGCATCCCTGAGCCGCTCCCACCCCCACGCGGGTCCTCCCGCCCGCCCTCCGCCCCCGGCTCTCCGGCCTCCAGCTCCCATTCCTTACCTGCAACCCCTTCCGCTCTTTTTCTTTAAAACCCCAGGCCCAGGCTTTGCACCTTCCCCCTCGGAACCCCCTTCCCCTCCCCAGCTCGGGCTCCAACCACAGGACCCCGCCCCTGCCCCCCGCCACCTAGGCCCCACCTCCAGGGCCCCCCAGCAGGCCCTGATCTGGCAGCAGCAGGACAGAGGCGCTCTGGGCCCCGTGCACATTCCAGGCCTCGCAGCTGAGTCTGAGGTCAGGGCTGAGCCCCACGCGGAGGCTCAGGGAGCTGTTGGTCCAGGGCCCCTCTGAGCTGGAGGTGACCACGTGGGACGCGTTGCCATGGTTCCCCTCCAGCAGCCCCGCCCCCAGCCGCCAGCGCAGGGAGGGGGCCGGCTGGGCCCTGGAGGAGCAGCTGCAGTGCAGACCCTGGTCCTCCCAGGAGCAGGAGGGTCCCAGCAGCTGCGGGGGGTCTGTGGGGAGCGAGGGGACGGGTCAGCGGTGCCTCTGTCCTCCCAGGACCCCGGTGTCCTGCCCCCAGGTGCCCCATCCGCCACTCACAGTGCACAGAGAGGCTCAGCGAGACGCTGAGGGCGCCCAGCGGGTTCTGAGCGCGGCAAATGAATTCGCCTTCGTGCTCCGTTCGTACCCCAGGCAGCTCCAGGACCCCGGGGTCTGAGGGCTGGGAGGGGCTCAGGGTCTGTGGCCCCCGGGCCCAGCTCAGCGAGGCTGGAGGGTTGCTGTGGGTGACACAGAGCAGGCGCAGGCTCTGGCCCTCCAGGACCGGGAGGGACGCTCCGTTCCCCAGCGTCTCCAGGACTAGGGGAGAGAAGGGGCAGGACAGACACACAGCTGAGGGCATCCGGACCCTTCGCAGGCGCACACCCCAGACGCCCGGGCCCCCTGGGCGCTGAGAGGCCTCTGTCCCCCTCTCCTACCTGTCCCATTAGCTCGGGAGACGGTCACCGTCAGGTTCTCCGGGGGATCTGAAAAGACACAGCACCAGCTCCAGGCGGGCCGGGGCCTCGCTCTGGGCCAAGGGTCCCTGCGGACTGATGACTGCGGCAGGCAGGGGAGGAGGGTTGAATCACCCACCGACACAAGGCACCCAAGGAAATGGGTGGGTAAGAAGGGTGGGTCCCTGCCAGGCCGGGGTGGCTCAGTGGTTGAGCGTTGACCTATGAACCGGGAGGTCAAGGTTTGATTCCTTGTCAGGGCACATGCCTGGGTTGTGGGCCGGATCCCCAGTAGGGGGGCCTGCAGGAAGCAACTGATCAACGATTCTCTCTCATCATTGATGTTTCTCTCTCTTTCTCCCTCTCCCTTCCTCTCTGAAATCAACAAAAATATATATATTTTTAAAAAGGGTGGGTCCCTGTGCTATTGTGATTTATAATGTATATTATATATTGTATAGGATCTACCAACTTCTATGCATGGGCCACGAAGTTTCAATCTCACTGTACGTGCGCGCCCGCACGTGGTATTTTGTGGAAGAGCCACACTCAAGGGGCCAAAGAGCCGCATGTGGCTCGAGAGCCGCAGTTTGCCGACCACTGGTATAGATATTTGGTCTTGGTCCCCATTCCTGGCACAGAGCTCCTGAAAGTCTCCGGGTTTCTAAGCAATGAGAGTTTGACAAAGGCGTCTTGATATTCATAATGAGCCCTTTGACCCTGCACCTGAGTTTAGGTTAATGAAAGCACCTCAGGATGGTGGCTGGTTGCCAGGGAAACCAGTCAGGCTGGGATTTGCAGACCCAAACCCTGACTTCCCAAAGGGGGAGGGGCTGGAGGTTGACTTCAATCTCCAATGGCCAAGGCTTTAGTCAATCAGGCCTATGTAATGATGGCTCCATAAACACCACAAAGTGATGGTGGTGGGGGGGGGGGCGGTGAGGGGAGATCTTCAGGGTTGGTGAGCACGTGGAGATTTGGGGAGAGTGGCGACAGGAGAGGGAGTGAAGCTCCGAGCCCTTCCCCTGTGCCTGGCCCTCCCACCTGGCTGCTCCCGCCTCATATCCTTTCATTCCAGACGGGTCATCTAGTAAGTGGTGAGTATGTTTCTCTTGAATTCTGGGAGCTGCTCTATCTAGCACAGCGGTTCTCAACCTGTGGGTCACGACCCCTTTGGGGGTCGAACGACCCTTTCACACGGGTCACCTAAGACCGTCGGAAAACACATATATAATTACATATTGTTTTTGTGATTAATCACTATGCTTTAATTATGTTCAATTTGTAACAATGAAAATGCATCCTGCCTATCAGATATTTACATTACGATTCATAACAGCAGCAACATTACAGTGATGAAGTAGCAACAAAAATAATGTTATGGTTGGGGGTCACCACCACATGAGGAACTGTATTAAAGGGTCACGGCATTAGGAAGGTTGAGAACCACTGATCTAGCAAGTTAGTGGCCCCTGAGGAGGGGGTCGTGGGAAGCTCCCACCAATAGCCTCCGCTCTATAGTCAGCAGCGCAGGCGGCAACTGGACTTGCTATGTGTCCGAGGTGGGCAGTCCTGTGGGACTGAGCCCTTAACCCGCGGCACCTGCACCTCCGGGTGCAGAGGGTCGGAACTGAGTCGAACTGACAGACACCCAGCTGGTGTCAGAGAATTGCTTGGTGGTGGGAGAAAAAACACCTGCCTCGGAATTGGAACCAGAATCGTGAGTCCTGCAGGCCCGGGTTCCAGCTCCTTGGAGCCCTGGGACCCCGTCTCAGCCCCTGCCCTCACCCCTCGCCTCCCTCCCGGACGCCAGGCCGCGGTCACACTCACAGCGCACAGAGAGGCTCAGGGTGCGGCTCCGGAGGCCCAGCCTGTTCTCCGCTCGGCAGGAGTAGCGCCCCGCGTCCCCGG